ATATATATATATATTTATTTTCGAGAGTTTCGAGACTTTTTGAAAGTTTCGAGGTCTCGTTAAAGATTCGATAGATCGCGGATCTAAAAATCAGGTTTCGACCTAACTCTAATATCTCGTAGCAATGATAAAACCGGCCTTGTTGCTGCAACTGGCACTAACGTTTCCATAATCGCATACATAACAAAAAGGCAATTGCTTGCATACAATTATATAAGCACCAAGACCTTTTTTTTTTTTTTTTTTTTTTTAAAATATCGGGCTATCTAACATTTGGTCGGCCTTATTTTTTTTCTCTTTGTGGTTTCATTTTTTTTTTTTTTTTTTTTTTTTTTTTGTTAATAACCTCGTTCTTTATAATCTGTTGGTTGGTTATCCCGAATCTAACATAATAAAAATCAAAGAACTGTGTTTGTTGCAACAAGAAATTGGGGTGCGGTGTGTTTAACGTGTGCTCGCACAATTTTTAAATCGTCCAACGTCAAAAAAAAAAAAGGAATAATGTCTTTATCACGAGCTTGATACTTTTTTTTCTTTTTCTTTTCTTTTTTTTTTTATTTTTTTATTTTTAGTTTGTGAATAATTATGATGATGAGAATATCGCACCTGCTTTTGATACGCTTGACGAGAAGAAATCTACTAATACGAGAGGATACACATTTTTGGAGGAAGAGTTCTATGCAAATAAAACATGTAAACTTTATTTTGGCCTTTCGACGTATTTTTCAATATCAATTTTTGCATAATTTCATTACAAATTATACAATTTCAAATTTTATTACAAATCGTTTCAGTGGATACCGATTTACTTCTCTCGATATTTCGATTCTTTTCATGATTTTTTTTCTAATTCTTTTTAAAGCTTTAAGTGGTGTGATTTGGGTCCTCTATAATTGAATATTTCAGAATATATCAGTAATGTATTCTTTTATAAAATTTTCTATGTTATCTAAGCATTATATCTGTATTTAAAATTTTTACAAAACTTTTGATTTTTTTTGCAATTTTTAATAATAAAATTGTAATATTGGAGTTTAAATAATAATAAGACGTCAAATATTTTAAGTTTAATGTTTAACTATAATAATTAATTTTAATTCAAATATTTAATAAAATTATTTATTATTTCTTCTTATATGATTTAA